CTGTGCTGGATTGCTGCCAATGCCTGGACTGTGCTGGATTGCTGCCAAGGGCCTGTCTGTCTGTTAATAAAGTCCTTGAAGTATCTTTGTCTTGGCGTGCTTTGGTGTATACATACATACATACATACATACATACATACATACATACATACATACATTATAATCCATTAAAAGTTACACCCTTTCATGAATTACTGCCTTATCATGGCAAAGAGGCTTGTACAGCTCAAAGAAGATATGAGTTAAGCTGTGCAAGGCTATTCAAGATGCACAGGTCGTAATGGAGAGTTCTAACAAAATGTGGTCCACTAGAGAAAGAAATTGTAACCTTCTCATAGTATCCTTGCCAAGAAAACCCCATGGACAGTACCATCAGAACTGCTTCAGAACTTGGAATGTAAGAACTATGATTCAAAGTAAACTGGATGTGGTTAAACCTGAGATGGCAAGATTGAACATCAACATCTTGAGAATCAGTGAACTAAAGTGGACAGGAATAAATGAAGTTAATCCTAATGACCTTTATATCTACTACTGTGGACAAGAATCTCTTAGAAGAAATGGAGTAGCCCTCATAGTCAACAAAACAGTGAGAGGAGCAGTACTGGGGTACACTCTCAAAAATGACAGAATGTTCTTGGTTCAAATCCAAGGCAAACCATTCAGCATCACAGTAATCCAAGTCAGCGGGAAAGTAGATGAGAAATTTCCTGGCAGTATCAGCAGTCTTATGGTGGAACAGACTGTTTCATGAAGTGGCATGTTCCCCTCACTGGAGATTTTCATACTGAAAACCCAAAATTCCAAAATTCCCAAGCTACTGTCATTCACCAACTGAAGTTGGCCTAGATAACTTCCGAGTTCTCTCCCATTCTGTGATTCTAATCATAATATCCAACATAATATCCAACACTTCTCATGACTGATGGACTATAAACCTTCAGTGCAGATTAACATGATAGTCATTCTTAAAAAATGTCCTAGCAGAACATGCAGTTTATCAGAATCAAAACATAGACAGTTTTGAATCAAAAGACCCATGTAGGAAAATTGGTCTGCCTGCAAAATGTTTCCATGATTTGTGTCCCTACTTGGCCACTCAAAGAAGAGGAAAATCACATAAACTAGTTTTCAGATGTTTCATTCGTATTTATTTTTTCTATAGGTTGCCTATTCTTGCTTCAAATCATAAGCAAATATTTTAGGCACAAGGGGTGAATAAGCAGATGTTGAAATGAGATAGATAGTTGTAACTCTTGACTTCCCATCTCCATCAAGCATCTAACTTGAAGTCTTGCTACTCCTAACTTCTGTACATGGCGCAGAGGGAACTGGGGTTCTACATGTTCTTCTTAATGCTACACACAGCATTAAAACTAATATTTAAATGGAAACACAGCAAAACGCTTAGAAATTTATAAGTATTTCTACCAACAAAATACTGAAGTGAAATGAAGTTGGGCTGAAAAAAGAGATCCAGATTTAGAAATCTGAAGGCTTCCTGAGAGTGTCTTTTAGATTAGCTAGAGAGATAATCTGTTATGTGGAAACAAACAGCTGTCTGAGGAATTCTTAGCTATCAGAAAAAAGCTGCTAATGGCTAGTGCTTAGATTACTATTATCAGGATATTTTATTGCGAATGGAGCAAGAGGCAAATACGTATTTATAACATTTATTATGATTACTGGTCCCTAAACATTATTGGAAAGGGCCATTTGCTTGAATAGTATAACAGACAATTCAGACCTAGGTTTTTGTGCCATTAACTTCTTGTATTGCATTAAATTTAAGTCAGTAGATTTATTTATTTACTTACTTATTACTGATTAATTCTACTTTCCTGATTTCTTAATTCTTGCTTAGAATCCTGATTAAGTAATTATACTGTAAGGTTATATTAACAAAATCTTACAAGTCTGGTAGTACATTCCCCCCTGTAGACTTTACAGCCCAAGAAGATTGAAAGGGTAAGCCCAAAAATTCACTAAAACTTCCTTGGCAAAATATTTTGCTTTTCCTCTTTCCTGGGGATTCAGAATATAGAAATGTGTACTTCAGTTCTAGAAATGCACCAATGTTCGCTGCTGCTGGTGAGCCGGGAGACGATATCCCACAAATAAATTCAGGTGACTTGCTTTGAGAAAATTAATACTTCCTGTTCCCATCTCCCCCACTGCATTTTTAAGTCGCTATGAAGAAAGTTCTGTCTCTTCAAACTAAAATGTTTGCATTGGGTTAACAAAGGTACGGGCGGTGAACTGGAAACCATTAAGCATAAGGAAGCAACTAAGAAGCCTGGTTCGGATGCCAAGTATTTAGGGACAAAAAGGAGACGAGTGTGCCGCCGATCCATTATTATAACTCGAAAGGGGATTTCACACATTTGTGTGTGTGCGGGCGCGCACACACACAACCGAGAGAGGGGCTAACCGATCTGCCCGGACGCCTGGGAGGATCAGGGGCTGTTTGGGGAGGCAGAGCTCACGTCCGGAGCTCAAATGCCGGAACCAGGTCCCTCCCCCAAACTTTCTCCCGTTTCTGCAAGCGACCCCCGCTTTTTCCAGCAGAAACCAACTGGCCGCGTGAAGGGCAGCTTTGTTCCTTCGCTGCACTTCAAACCAGGGTTTCCTCTCGCTCAAGCAACGCCTGGAAAACAACAACACCCCACTTCACACTATTCCTGCTGCCGGAGTCGCCCTCCTGCAGGCCGACATGAATGGAGGGCTCGCGAGGGCATCTCGAAGGCTTCCCCGCACTAGGAACCAATTTCTCTAGAAAACAAGTAGCAACAGGTGGGAGGCCTCTCGTGTCGCCCGGGAGATTGCTCAGTCCTAATCGCAGGGAGTTGGGGAGGGACGGCGCTATCTCTTTGTTTATGTTGCCCTTAGCAGCACTTGGGGTGTTTGGGGCGAATGGCGGCAGCAGCAGAAAAGGGTCCGGAATAATTTCTTCGCCACATCTGACACGCCTCTCTTAGGACAAAAACTGGTCTGTGAAGCTTTAGCTGCGGGTTCGAGAGCTTGGCCAAAGGCAGCATGACGGAGCTGCACGAAGCGGTGGCTTTGGGTAAATACGATTTAGTGGAAGAAATCCTCCAGAGGGAGCTCGCGGACCCAAATTGCAAAGATGCGGACTGGAGCGACCGGACGCCCCTCCACTGGGCGGCAGCAAACGGTAAGCAATCGCCTGGGGGATGCGCATGCGCCAGGAGGAAATAGGAGGGCAGCCGGTGTGTCCGAAGTAATGGAAGTATCAGTGGAGGCAAGTTACAAGCATTCGGGTTGCAGCCGTCATATTCCCAGCCCTGGTCGGAGCAAGCACGCAAGCCGCTCCGATCGGTTAACAATATATATATATATATATATATATATATAGATAGATAGATAGATAGATAGATAGATAGATAGATAGATAGATAGATAGATAGATAGATAGA